GCAATTATGAATTCAGGCTCCTTTTCCCCTGAGAATCAGGATAAAATGCAGTAGATTCTATATGATACTTTAAATACAAGCCTTCAAGTTACGGCATAGAACTGAAAATCCGGGGCTCACTCTTCAGATGCTTGCTATCATTTCAATTTTAAAGATTTTTTTAAAAAACTAAAATTGTCAGGCATAAATTGTCTTTGATGTCTTAATTACATAAATGGGAAGGAAAAAAAATAAAAAATAAGTATTTAGTTTTGTGAAATTATAACACTGCATGCAGAGAGCTAAAATAGCTGCATACATCTCTCTGCATTATAGTGTTATGTTTGCTCTAGCTAATGGTATATCTACTTTGCATTGACTAGTAACTATACGAGGCTTGCTCCAAAAGTAATGCCTCCTATCTTATTATGCTAGCCCATGACACCAGAGACAGATGTTAGTGGTATGACAACAGAGGTTGGACTTTCCCACCACTATTCCATTACATATTGTTGTCATGTGAGAGATGAAAGCAGAGGTCAATCTGACAGTATGAAGTCTAATGTGGAAGTATATATGAAGCAAAGGCTTGTAACTGAATTCCTCCATGTGGAAAAAATGGCACTCTCTGACATTTATCAACACTTGCTGAATGGTTATGGAGACCAAACAGTGAGCACAGTGAGGTGGTGGGTGGTGTTTCAGCAGTGGTGACAGTGACAGTGGGTCACTTCCACAGGTGCAGATTCTTATGGGTGCAGCACACAAGCTCTTGTTCATCACCGACATAAAAGCATAGATAATGGTGGTGACTGTGTTGAAAAATAGTGTTTTGTAGCAGAGAATTTGCTCTATCAAATTCTGTTATTGTGCTTTTAAGTTCTGTGGCAATAAACAGGAGGCATTACTTTTAGAGCGACCTACTGTTTAGTTATTTCTATTTTACTGAAATTTTTATTGCTCAATTTGCCCTATATCCCCAATTTTTCACTCTTTTCTATTACCCAGATTTACCTTTTTTTTCCAAAGAGTAAAAGAGGGAAGAAAATAATCTTTAACAGCAGAAAGCACTGTTCATTGTCTTTTCCACTTACATTTATACTAGGTTCTTAAATGCCATTTTGAGTTCTACATGGAAGGGTTCAGCTTTAGCTAAGTTTATAGATCTCTGTATGCACTGGGCAACCTCTGCTAAATCAAAGCCAAACAAACAAACAAACAAACTTTAGATAAAATATTCTAGTGGGATAATTTTCTATTTCAGTCATTCCTCATTCCACACAACATTGAGGACTACTTGGCCTATTAAATCCTCTTTGCAGGGAAGTTGCTACTGAAAAAAAACCAATCGAGTATACCAAAATAAAAGATAAAATGCTGGAGACATGCCAGTCCACATTTAGCAGGGTAAACATCCTCACCTATAATAACTTTTCAATGTGCTGCAAAAAGATTACGTAGTTACTTTGCAAATGTACATTTTCTTTAATTAAAAGCTTGCTTACTTCAAGGAGAGCTTATTCTCCCCCCATCTAAGCGTCATATTTATGATATCTTCTTGTTTTAATTACTTTTAAAAAAGGAAGCTTTAACTTAGAATTTTTTAGGATTATTTTCACCGTCAGTTTATCTTTACTTTGCATATTTGTTAACAATATTTTTAATACTGATAATGTGTTAATACTGATAATGTGTCAATCACAGATTATAATGTGGAAGTTCATCTCAAAGAAGATCATAAAATTTAGCATATGTTCAGACTTTTTCATTCTTCTTTGCTAGATTTACCTATGTGTTTCATGACTGCAAGCCATTCTGCCTCAACTATTTGCAGTAGTGTACATGAGCCTTTCCAGTCTTTCAATTTTGCAGACGTATAGCATTAGCAAAGGAAAATTGCTTCTATTTAATACTATGCTTGACATAATACTTTGTTGTTCAAATCATTAAAATCAATCTCTTAAAATTAATTTGCAGCATGGTAAAATTCAATTGTAATCTAAGTTTCTATGACAAAATCACTAATGAGGTAAAAGAAAGACAATTTTAAACATAAAAATATTGTTTCTATCTCAAACACATATTTTTCCTGTTTGTGAGAATTTGAAAAGGATACAGAGTTTTTTGAGAACAAGGCTTCTCTTTCTTAGTATTAAGATCCAAACTTATGCATTGGTTTAAAAGTTAGTTCTATTGTAATAACAGTATTCCCTGTAGTGCTGTTTTTATATGCCTGACACTAAAAGATATTTTGCATGTTCACTTACACGCATCCACACTTGTTTCATTACTTGGTGCTAAACATAATAATATTATCAAATGACAATTCTGAAGCAAGAAGCATAAAGAATTATACAACAAGATATGAGGAATTAAAAGAGGCATTATGTTACCACAGTTTTACATTTAGTTGTCCAAAATATTAGACTATGTCTAATGGCCATTACAGGGCTGACTTGACATGTTGACTATGCTGTCTGAACAACAACTGCAGGTAAGTGAATAGTTTTTATACCTCTTGCAAGAAAAATCTTAAAGAAAAAATGCAAATAAGAAACTAAGTAGAAAGCCCTATAAAACCACTGTCAACTGACAAACTGCTTGACAGTAGTTCCAACTATTTTTCAGCTCTAAATCAAAGTCATTTCTGATAACTTCCAATTGGGCTTATCAGCTTTATACGGCTTTCTTTGTTGCCAGATTGAGAAAATTTTAGTAGCTGTAGAATGTTTATAAGAGGCTTACGGAAGTAAGTAATTTCATAGTAGAAATAAAAAATGAAAATTTATGCAAAGAAAAGCATTCCATATGAAAGTCGATCCTTCCCAAAGAACTTGCATCCTCACAAAAAACAAAACATCAAATATGTTATACATATTTATATGAGAGAACTCTAGAAATCTCAAGAAAAATCTGCATTTTACTTGAGTGAAAACAAATTAAATATTTGAAAAAAGGAGCCTAATTCAAACGAGAAATCACAATTTATTGTTAGATAAATTCTTCCTCTTAACATCAAAGTTGTCAGAGCTATTCAGTATTAGAAAAAAAGAATTAATGAATGCTCCATAACTAGATCAAAAGCAAGAAATGTATGGGAGACGTACTAAAAACATTCTCCGATAACAGAGTACTACTCAGCATTGCAGTACATAACTGAATAATCTAACATAATCAACTGCTTGATTAGCTAGCATCCCAAGCTGAAAAGTCCTCTTGAAGTCCTGAATTTCTTCCTTGGAAAAGCACTGACATCTCAGTATTTAAGATTTTGTCTGAAAATATATTAATCAATACTAAACTACTAATATTATGCTGCCCATGATTATTTCCAAAGTAATAAGAAACTCCAGTAGTATGTTCCAGGAAAAAAAACACCTACCTTGAGTCACTTGAATATATTTTATGTGCAACCCAAGTACATAAGAATAGAATCCTGCCTGACCTCATACACTCAACTATGAGACCCATTCCCTGACGAACGTTTAAAACACAAAACCAACCTTAATCTTCTCATTTGACAGACAGCACATTTTGTCCAAGACGCACAGGTTTCCACAGAAGAACAGAACTATCTGCCTTAGAAATATCACTAAACTGCACATTAATTTAATGACACATTCATTTCTATTTCCTCCTGCTACTAATCTCTTCATGTTCCACATGGTATAAAGCTATCATCTTTCTTCACTGTAGTACGCAACTACGTTATTGTTCTTTCTGCTGTTAATAGCTCCTCTGTACCACTGGTACCAATAGTCATTAGGGTAGTCTAAAAGATTTCTACCGTAGCTAAACCTCGAGTAGTGTTCTTAGCTTAGATTTAGCTTTGAAGTCACTGGATAATCCTTTGATCATGAAAAATTTATCACAGCAATGCTCATCACAGTAAAATTACTACTTTGAAAACTGACATCCTATCAGTTGATATCTTTAAATTCAAGAAAATTAAGCCTGCTACATACAAAACAAAATGATTTTGTTTAGAAATTTACACAACTTCTAATTTACATTTAGAAATGTACACAAAACAGATGCAGATTATAATAATGGGTTTGCATCAAAAAATAACTTTGTAAATTTGGTTAGCTGTGAGATGAATATTTCTTTTAAACACTGGAAAGGGTAATGGCATCTGTTTGCAAGGAGATGGGTTTTAAACATATATGATATTTTATCCTATTCTTTAAATTTTAAAGCTGCGTAGTTGTTTTTATTTTTGTTTTCTTTTTCTTTTTTTATTGTTCAGCGTGTTAAAAAAACAGCAACATAAAATTCCAACATTTGAATGAAATACATCTTGAATCTCATAGTGCAAAGAATTTTAAACAACTAGGCCACCAAAAAAAGGAAGGAACAGACTGTTCCTTCAGATATTTTGACCAGTAGAGACTACAAAATTGAACTTTTTTTTTTGGAAGAGCTACTTAATTTGAGATCCCTACTGTCTTGTTAAGTACTGTGCTGGGAATGTTCCTCTTATTACATACAACTATCCCTACAGAAGCATTTGTCTAAGATGTAACTCTAAAAACATTGGTTTGTTAATGTTTTAGGTTTCTGATTTTAATAATCCTCTTTATTTTGTACCTACTCTATATTTTATCTTAGTAAAGCATCCTTTTACTAAGAGAGACAATGGAATTCCAGCATAATAAGGAATAAATGTAACTTTTCTTCCATAGGTATAAAAAGGAAAAAGTTGCATAAATAATGTACAACATAATGCCACTATCTGAACAATTTCTCTTGGGCTCTTTTGGAAGTTAGTGAAGAAAACCAGGCATTTACAGTGCACAATTACCTCATTTCAATACACATGCCTCAAAAAGTCACAGGAGCTATGTTCTGAAACTGCCAAATTCTTTCCAGTCTAAAAGGAAATAACTTATGAATGCAGTGCATATCAACAAGCAGTGAAAAACAACGTATCATAAGAAAATCTATCATAATTAGAAAGATCTTAAAAATTAAATATAAAACAAACAAAGCAAGTCCATAGAAGAATAAAATATACTAACTTCATTATGTTTTCTTTGCTCTTGCGTTGCTTCCCAAACAGCTTGGGCAATCTTCTTGTTATGTCTCTCATGTTCTGCTTTCCACATATTTCTTTCTTCTTCATGAATCTTTTCCATATTTCTCCTTTCCTCCTCTACAGCTTTCAGAACAACCTCCTGTACTATTTCTTTTTCAGCCTTCAAAACAAATCGAAAAGTAAATGAAGAAAATAGCCAGTGTGGGTGCTGTAAGAACACATTTTACTCTTCCTAATGAGATCAGTGAGCTATGTCACTGTGTCATCATCTCACTGAGCTATATCAGTGAGATGATCTTTGAGATTCCTTCCATCCCAAAGCATTCTATGATTCTATGATTGTGGGACTTCCTATGGGAGGCTCTAATCTTCAAGAATTTAATGAAGTCCAAGAACAGTATAAACACTACCTTTGGCAAAGTAGCCAATGCGTACTTAAAACAAATGTGTCTTCCATCCCCAAACTCTTTAGCTGCACATACTAAAAGAAGTTTAATTCCATCTTTTTTGAATTTTAATAAAAAAATTCAACCATTACATGAAATCATCAGAAGAAACACACTGAATTTGAAGTAAAAGGGACAACGCACAGATCTATACGAGCTGAACCATCCACAAATATATTTATCAGCAAGACGATCTATCATTACACAACATCTACAAATAATGTCATGCTGAAGTTCAAAACAAACACTGGCTGGCAGCTCACTCCTCCTTATTTTAATAAGCTTATAAGTCAGTGCAGTATCCTTGATGATAATACTGCAACAAGTAAAAAAAAAAATTATAAAAGGCCATAAATATTGGGTTCCTCAAATTCATTTATTTAAAAATAAAGCTGTTTTTCTTGTGTTTTCTACTAGTTTTTTTTTACTAGTTTTCTCAGATCATTACAAGCAACTGAAATGTTGTACTGCATTCTGTACCAGAATTAGAAATTACATAGTTTGTTGAAATTTTTGTATTTTCACATGATTTCACTGTCCTGTCCTCAGTGCAAATCACCATTTTTAACAAAAATTAAGTAAGATACAATGCTAACTGTCTTAAGATCAATTGACCTTGCTACCCAGCTCTTCAAGTTGAGAGATACTGATGCTAATTGAAAGACAATAGAAACACATTGAACTGCAATTTTCGAACTTCTTGTAATAATCTAGTTCAGAGGTTAGCTTAAATAGAAGACAGCTTACATAGACTATCTCTATGAAAACATACGATAAAATAGATCTATTAATTTGCTTATTTCTACGCTCAGACTTTCCTTTAAACACAGATGAGAATATAACATTTGACAAATTTGGTTATGAAATGAGTTGCTAAGCAAGAGATACCTTTGCAGCAGCTGCAATAGCCTCCTTACTTCTTTTCCTTTCTTCATCCAAACATTTGTCCAGCACTTCCTGTAAATATCATGAAAAATTCAACAACAATATTCAATAGAGGAGTGGCTAAAAATAATTTCAGTCAACTGCTGAAAAGGAAAAATCCATTTTCCTGTCAATAATTGTGACATAATCATTGCCTATGAAATCTATAGTGTGCACTGGAATCATTTTTCTTTTATAAATAAAAGCAATACCTTATGTTTCTGTGACTGTTGCATCAGAGCTTCTTCTATCTTTTCTGACAAGACTGCCTTCTCTGCTTCTAAAATGTCAAGAAGCCTCTGATGCTATTGGGAGAAAATATTTATATTATTTTAACAGCAGTTTGCAAAAAAAATAGACAAAAACAACTCATCCAAGAGACGTAGGGTTGTTGGCTGCTTATAAAGCAACTCAAAATTTAGATTTGGTTAAAGGAAATATACAATGCATCTTAAACTAGTTCACTGACAACAGAAACACACAATAAGAAGAAATGCTTTAATTCCCGATTATCTGATATTTCCTCTCAGTCTGAACTATACTAGAAAAGAAGTTGAAAATAACACTATATATAGCAATATTTCTTATAAAATTTATAACAATAATACAAATAATCATACATTTTAAACAGTTCATTTAAACAACTGCATAAATTATATTTGCACTACCTCCCAGTTAAACATACAGTAGAACACATCTGTATTCACTTTTAGCCCCTTGTGTTATCATTCACTTCAAAAGCCAGAAAATTATAGCAATGAGAACATTGTAGCAAGTTTTCTTGTAATCTGAAACATTTTTTCAGCAAGTGAAAGAATATTGAAATGAAGTCCTGGAGCTGTCAGGGTTCATATAGAGGGCTTTAAATTGGGCACGTTGGGTAAAGGTGTAGTACTTCAAAGCACGCAGCAGTGGCAAGAAACAGGAGGAGCTGGAAACCATCTTGCAGCAGGCAAACTGTGGCTTACTTGCTGATACTGAAACACGGTGGGACTGCTCCCATGACTGGTGTGCTGCAATGGATGGCTATAAGCTCTTCAGAAGGGCAGGCAAAGAAGGAAAGCTGGTGGCACAGCTCTCTATCTTAGTGTTTTGATGTTGTTGAGCATGGAACTGGGAATGATAAGGTTCAGACTATATGGGTAAGGATCAGAGGGACAGCCAACAAGGCTGACATTCTGGAAGAGGACTGCTATAGACTGCCTAATGAGGATGAAGAGACGGATGAGGCATTCTATGAGTAGCTGACAGAAGTAGTGAGATCACTAGCCCTTGTTCTCATGGAGAACTTCCAACTTTCCTGATATATGCTGGAAATGCAATACAGTACAGAAGAAGCAGTCTAGGAGATTTCTAGAGTGTGCCTGGAAGGCAACTTCCTGATGCAGCTGGTAAGAGAGCCACCCAGGGGAGGTGCCCTGCTCTAGCAGATCACAGTCCTGCTCTTCACAAAGGATTGGCGGGAGATGGGGAGGTCAAGAGCTGCCTTGGGCAGAGCAACCATGAAATGGTAAAGTTCTCGATTCTTTGTGAAGTCAGGAGAGCGGTCAACAAAACTACGACCTTGGACTTCTGGAGGTCAGACTTTAAACTGTTCAGGACACTGGTGGGCAGGGTCCTTTGGGATTCAGTCCTGAAGGATAACGGGTTTAGTAAGGCTGGACATCTGTCAAGAAAGAAGTTTTAGAGGTGCAGGAGCAGGCTGTCCCCCTGTGAGTAAGATGAGCCAGCAGATAAGAAAACTGTGAGGAAAAACAGGGAACTTCTTCTGAGACTCGAGGAGAAAAAGAGTCTACCTCTACCTCTTACCTTGTGGAAGGCAACTTGAGGAAGTTGCAAGGATATGTAGGGAGAAAATTAGGCAAAAACCAAACTTGAACTCAAGCTGGCTGCTGTAGTAAAAGACAACAAAAAACTCTTTTACAAACATGTTTTCTCTTAACATTAAGTGGAGGGCTAAGGAGAATCTCCAGACTTCGCTGGATGCTGTGGGGACCACTGAAGATAAGAAAGAGGCTGCAGTTCTCAATGCCTTCTTTAAATCCGTCTTTAAATGTCAGACCACCTATCTTCAGAGTACTCCTACCCCCTGACCTGGAAGCTTGGGATGGGGAGCAGAATATACCCCTCATGATTCAGGTGGAAACAGTCAGAGACCTTCTACTCTACCTGGACTGTCACGAGTTCGGGACCAAATAGGATACACCCAAGGGTTCTGAGAGAGCTGGCAGAGGTGATTGCCACTTTTCAACACCTATCAACAGTCCTTGTCAACCAGAGCGGTCCCAGAGGACTGGAGGCTTGCCAGCGTGACTGTCATATACAAATATGGTCATAAGGAGGATCTGGAGAACTACAGACATATCAGCCTTGGTGTCAGGGAAAGCTATGTGACAGATTGTCCTGAGTGAGATTACACAGCATGTGTGATCAGCAGGAGATCAGGCACAGCCAGCATGTATTCATGAAAGGCAAGTCCTGGTTAGCCAACTGATCTTCTGTGATCAAGTGACCCACCTAATGGATGAAGTAATGGATGGTTGACATAGTCAACTTATACCTCGAGCAAAACCTTTGACACCATCTCTCACAGTATTCTGTTGGGGAAGACAGCAGCCAGTAGCTTGCATAAGTACAAACTTTGCTGGGTAAAGAATGAGTTAGAGGGTCAAGCCCAAATACTGATGGTGAATGGAGTTAAATGCAGCCAGTGACGGGTCACAAGTTGTGTTTTCCAAGGATTGGTATTAGAGCCAGTCCTGTTTAATGTCTTTATTGATGATCTGGATGAGGGGACTGAGTGCATCCTCAGTAAGTTTGCAGATGAAAACAAGCTGGGAGGAAATGTTGATCTGCATGAGGGTAGGAAGAGGGTAGGAGGGATCTGGATAAGCTGGGTCCATGGGCTGAGGCCCCAGCTGTATGAACTTCAACAAGAAGTGCTAGGTCCAACACTTTGGTCACAACAATTCCATGCAATACTACAGGCTTGAGGCAGAGAGACTGGAAGACTGTGTGTAAGATATGGACCTGGGGGTGTTGGTCATTGCTCAGCTAAACATGAGCCAGCAGTGTGTCCAGGCAGCCAAGAAGGCCAATGCTATCCTGGCTTATATCAGAAGTAGTGTATATATCAGAAATCAGCAGGAGCAGAGAGATGATAATCCTCCCATATTCAGATCTGGTGAGGTCACACCTCAACTACTGTGTTCAGCTTGGGGCCCGTCCCTAGAAGAAAGACAAAGAGGCCCTTGAGTGTGTCCAGAGAAGGACAGCGAAGCTGGTGAGGGGTCTGGAGCACAAGATTTACGAGGAGTGACTGAGGGAACTGGGATTGTTTATTCTGGAAAAGAGAAGGCCCAGGGGAGGACCTTATAGCTCTCTGCAACTACCTGGAAGGTGGTTGTAAGGAGGTGGGTGTCAGCCTCTTCTCCTGTGTATCTAGCAACAAGACATAAGGGAATGGCCACATTCACATCAGATATTAGGAAAAATTTATTCTCTGAAAGAGTGGTCAGGCACTGGAATGGGCTGCCCAGGGTGGTGACTGAATCACTATATCTGAAGGTGTTCAAGATATGTTTAGATGTTGTACTAAAGGAAAAGTTTATTGTGGAAATATTGGTGGTAGGTGGATGGTTTTGATGATCTTGGAGATCTTTTCCAACCTTGGTGATTCTATGATTCTAGAGCAACCCAGTAGTCTACATGTGGTTTTATAATCTTTTACAATTTCTAATCATGATCTATTTATCTATTTTTCAATAAACCAAGTCTGCATTAGAAATAGTGTGGTCACCAGGAGCAGGAACCCTTACTCAGCATCCCCCTGTACTCAGCAGTGGTGAGGCCGCACCTTGAATATTTTGTTCAGTTTTGGGCCTCTCACTACAAGACATTGAGGCCCTGGAACGTGTCCAGAGAAGGGCAAAGAAACTGGTGAGGGGTCTGGAGCACAAGTCTTACGAAGAGCAGCTGAGGGAGCTGGGATTGTTTAGTCTGGAGAAGAGGAGGATCAAGGGAGACTTTATTGCACTCTACAACTTCCTGAAGGGAAGTTGGGATGAGGAGGGGTTTGGCCTCTTCTCCCAGGCAACAAATAGGATCCGAGAAAATGGCCACAAGTTGTGCCGGAGGAGAGTTAGATCAGAATTAAGGAAAAACTTTCTCTCTGAGAGGGTGGTCAGGCACTAGAACGGCCTGCCCAGGGAGGTGGTGGAGTTGCTGTCCCTTGAAGTGTACAAGAGGCATCTGGATGAGGAGCTACGAGATATGGTTTAGTAGCTTATGGTAGCAATGGTAATGGGAGGACTGTTGGACTAGGTGATCTTGTAGGTTCTTTCCAACCATATGATGCTATGATTCTATGATTCTAAGCATCTGAAATATAGGGGTTTTGTTTGCAAGAACTAAGTTGTTCTCCAAAGCTAAAAAATGTGAAGGTAGATTATTATTGCTTATTGACAATTATTAGCAAATCAGTATACTTGATTAGATTAATATATCAGTTAGATATGAAGTTGATATATTATAACCTTAAAATGTAAACATAAAAAGCGCAACATTTTGCACACTTCAGCACTTTTACACAAATACAAACAATCCTTTCATCAGCATTTCCAAAAAACTGCCATTGATCTTTCATGAATTTTATTATTGTTTAGTTAGAATTACCTCTAACAACAGTTAGAAATACATTTCCAAAATGCAACACTATTTTTGGAAAAAAATTATTGTATTTGTAGAATAGAATAGAAGACCTGTAGGTTACTTAATAAAATAATGTCAAGAAAATTTTGCCAACAAAACATACAGGCTCATCCCAAGTCCTGAAACAATACAGAGATTTGCACTGATACAAAACAGAACACATCTGTACGGACCATGGAAACAACTTATATCTTTTATCCTAGCAGTGGAGTAGAGACATTCATGATTACAGCCTTATGTACAACAGCAACCTCACTTACATAGCATTTTACTTCTTTAGAAGTACTGTAGTAGACTGCAATCCTGAAAATACAGAAATTGGTATTGACTGATTTTTATTATATGAAAATTTCAAATGTTCTAATATTTAATAAAGTTCTGCAGAAAACAAAACAAAACAAAACAAAAAACCTCCATTGCTGCAACAACAAAGATAAACAGCTGCAACAAAATAGGAAAAAGTTACACCAGACAGCCACTGCTTTTGCTCACCGATGAGCACAAAACAAGTTGCCTATTGAGTAAGGTTACAAAAAACATGAAGTCTGCTGTTACTGTCATTTCAAGTATGATCACTTTAATTTGGTTTAGATTC